GGTTAACAACCTAAGTTTGCAGACCAAAATTAGAGAAAAAGGAGGGCTGCAAGGAAAGCCAACATTTTGGCCCTTGCCTTCCAAGGTCAATTAAGACTCAGGACATATGAGAACTTGTCCTGTAACGTCATGCAACTCAGTAGTGTCCCAAATTTTCTGATCAAGGAGATTATGGGGCCAAAGAGGAAGTGATCGATGAGGTAGAGTGTGCCTAAGGAGAGTCACATGGAGAGAAAACATTCTCTCAGGCTTTCATGGAGAGCACTTGACCAAGCAATGGCCGTGACTCATCCACATGGCTGACACTGACAAAGGATCTACAATCTGAGTTACAGGATCTCAGGGTATTTGACTGACCTTATCAGATCCAAAAGCTACAACTCTTGTTGCATAGGTCTTGCTTTATCTTGTTCTTAACCATCCAGCAGAAAAGTATAAAAACTAAGTATAAGAAGTAAAGCCATGCTGTTATGTTGAGCTGTAGGGGACTCAGGTCAACAATTTCTGACACTGCCAGTCAAGTGGAAGATCCAATACTATTATGGACTACTGGATTCTTTTAGAATATTTTGCTGAGTTCACACACCTATAATATTCAAATGACAGAACTAAACAAAAAAGGGGATACAGATGAATGTCCATTTTGTATCTGTATATTCAAAATGGTTAGGATAGATTTATAGTTACATTCTCTTAATGAATAGAAGGATTTGTTCTAATAGTGTTTGTAAATAGGATATCATGTCTGCATCTTGTATAGCAAATCACCACTAGGAAGAGAGTATGCAATGTGTTAATTATTGAAACTGTCCTACCAATTTGATTTGAAATTGTCTCATTGCTATATGTCTCTCAATAAAATTACAGCAAAAAAAAGAGAAACTCCAGCACTGAGGGTGCTAACTGATAAGTAAATTCTCCCAATTTCATGACAGGAAGTGCTAATTTCATGGCTGTGCTAAAAGGGATGAATAACTACTACAAGGCTAAATTTGTCATTAAGTAAGAGAGGAAATATTTTGAAGGAAATTGATTTTGTCAGAGAAAAATCAAAGATTTGGTTTAGATATTTTTCTAATGTCTCGATTCTGAACACTGGTTTTTCACCAACTTAGGGAGGAAGAAGAAACAAACAAAACAAAAAATCCAAAGTAGAAAGGAATAAGCAAATCATTTCTGTTCAGAAATGTTATTTTAATGGGAAAAAAACTCTCAAAAGTTATACACAAAGCATTTAGAAATTTACCAAAGTATCAGGATACAAAGTGAGCACACAAAAACTGTATTTCTTTACACTAACAGTGAATTACCTGAGATGGAATTTAAGAAAATAATTTATTTAATAGCATCAAAAAGAATAAAACACACCATAATTAACCAAAAACTTGTAGAGATTGTGCAATGGAGGGTATGAAGTATTCCTCAAAGAAACTGAGACATAAATGACAAAAATAAAGCTGAATTCATGGATTAGAAAACTCTGCATTTGCGAATTATTCATCTGATAAGGGATTAGCAAGCAAAATATATGCAGAACTTCTACGTTCAACGTAAGTATAACCTGATTTGAGTAGCCAGAATGAGTAGCTAGAAAACTTTTCTCCGAAGATATATAAACTGCCAAGTAGCACATAGAAAGATGCTCAACATAAGTAATAATAGGAACATGCAAACAAAGCCACCCTGGAGGTCCTGTGTATAAGGACCATAAAAGCTGCCATCAGGTCCTATCAAGGAAAAAACTGAATGAACTGAAAAATCAGCATCTTTTCTTAGCTTTGACAAAGAGGAGTAGTCACAGAGCAAGCTGCAGCCCCAAAAGGAGAGTCAGCTGGACACAGAATTGAAACTTATGGGAGCAGAAACCCATGAACAGAAGCCCCATGGGAACTAGTGCAAGAATAAACAAACCTAGCTGGGAATAGCGGTGCCTTGCGAGGCTGAGGCAATAAGATCACAGGTTTGTGTCTACCCTGAGAAACTCAGTAACTCAGCAAGAGCCTGTCTCAAAATAAAAAATAAAAGTGTTTC